TGTCATGTAATCTTTTCTTGTCAACTGCCATTCTGTCTAGTGCTGGATGAAGACGTGACCACAACTGTCCCAAAACGCCAATATCTCAACGAACTTTTCAACTGAAGTACGCAGCCACGCCCTTTCCATCTCTAGGATATGGAGGTACGTAGCCATGCCTACATCTCGGGAACTTGGGGTTTAATAAAGTTTTTTTAATTACCTGTCATTACGTTTGAGAGCGTATCGAGGCCTACATAGTCGCACAATGTGAGCGGACCCATCGGACATGAAGTGCCGTATCGCAGCGCTGAAACGATCAAATAGCAGCTAGAAGGGCTATGAAAGCCAATTAGTAGCATCTGTTCAGGATTCGAGTCGTGTGTTCAGGAGTCAAACCAACTCCAAAACTCACCAGCGTCGATGTCCTCCTTTGTGGCGTCCCCTCGTTCCAACATTCGAATGCTGTCAAGAAGGTATGGAACAAGAAGACGGTTCACGATGAATCCAGGCGTATCCTGCAAATAATACCCTGAGAACAAACTTTTTGCCCGCGTAAATTTTTTCGCTATCGTTTCAGCGAAATTCTGTCCTTTTTCCGGAATTGTATAAACTGATGACAAACCTTGCACGAAACTGGCTGCTTTCCCAATGATTTGCAAAAATCGAAGAGCTTCTTGTGGGTTTCGTCAGAGGTTTCTGGTGTGCTGATCACTTCAACCAATTTCATCACCGGTACCGGATTGAAGAAGTGCAACCCAGCGAAAAGGGAGTGATCACGGATTGAGGGCAGCAGATCGACCAAGCGAATCGACGACGTGTTCGTGATTAGGAGAGAGTTACTGTAAAAATAAACACCTCAGGCACTGTTCATACTTCAAGCGCATCTGTCGCGCAGCGGGAGACTTTAGGGAGCGTGCGATTTGACAATGGTGCACCTGGATCATGATGTATGAACACGTTCTCTCCCACATTGCTGTGCTTCAGGAAACAACATTGAACTCATTTTTTCTTAAAGGCAGCGCCCACGTTCATTTGATGTTCCCGCGCCCTCTCTGGATATCATAGCCCTCCCTATGAGGATGCAGTATGTACTAGTTTTGCATCTCAAAAAGGCGGAAATTATAGCGCCGTTCGCTAGTGAAGGGCTGCCAGGCCCCCTTGGCCAGCATAGGGTTCTATATAGGGCATTTTCCATTTTTTTCTGCTTTTTTTCACTACTGGATCACGTATTATATGAGCTCCATAACTCATTATTCTTGAAAGCGGGCTCAGCCTTTGAAGGCTAAGCCAAAGCAGTTATGGCAGCCAGGTGGGCGGGGGCATCCTCTTCACAAGCGGGTGGCGCCATCCTCTCGTATTTTTGAGCTGCGAAATTAGTACATCCTCCACCCTTGTCGACAAAGCTACGATATCTAAGGAGGGCGTAGGAACATCAAATGAACGCGGGGTGCCTTTGATAGGACAGCCACATCATCGATGAAAGAATACCATTGTACGTGTGAGGGTGTATATCGAACTATTAGGCTTTAGGACATTTTTTTGTTCCAGACCCCATCCTGTGATTGACTGGCGTTCGTTTGTAGTTGTCTGGACGACCCTTCCCCCCCCCACCAAAAGTGAGAGTGGCAGGTCATTCGTGAAAAGTCCCTCGACTATGTAATACGATCGCAGCGACATTTAATGTCGCCGCTTATTAGAGACTGTCCCGCATTTACAGAAGGGTATCAAACATAAACTTCTTGAGAAACTCACGGTTGGCAATGAATTTGAGCCTCGGTGAAGACTGCTTCCTTTACCTCTTTCTTCTCCACAACAGCTTCAATGATGTACAAAGCGTTCGAAACGGCGCCACGGATATCCGCGCACAGCGCCAATTGTCTCATCTGACTGTCCACCCCTTGTTCCACTGTATCCTGAAAAGAAGTCCGGAAGTGAAAGAATGCGCTATGAAAGGAGAAAATTCTAGCAGCGGCAGAGAGTTTCGCACAGGAGATGCGCTCTCAGATTCACACCCTCTTACTGGTAGTAACAAAGCTGGTAACCCCTCTCATAGAATACTAGGAATACCGTACAGACATTTCAGAGCGGCGGTCACGAAAACGCCACACAGCGGTAAATATCATGGAAAGGGATAAACCCCGATATTAGATGGATTTCCCCCACTCTGAAGTAATAGATGTGGTGATTAGTCCTATACATATTGACCACTGGTGGTTACATTACGAGCCTTTTTTTTCAGTATTTACCACATAAGTTCTGAGCTTACGGGATGATGATAATTTCAAAAAACTTTCGCAAATAGGAGGGCCGTTTTTATGAAACTTTGGGTAAGAATAAGACGAACGGTCACTCAAACTGGAGATATCTCGTCACCAGTTCTTTGGCATTCTGACCAAACGCGGATCTGTATTGGCTTCTTAGCCGCCTTACACGTGCTTCCTCACATTTTCCGTAAAAAGTTGACGTTCCTACACAGGCCGGTATGCTAGCAGAGGCAAGGCATACTGAATGTGAACGAAGTTTTTGGGATTGTGTGAACATGATATCACGAAACAATTACTAGAAAGCGTCATTGATGGCTGCATATGGCAGTTAATGGTATCGGTTGGCGCCAGGTAATGAACAGTGCCCATGTCGGCTGGCCCGTACTACCCTTGAGTTAGCGCACGCATTCGCGGATGATTGGAGTGGCGGAAACCCAGCTATCACAACAGCGCCAATCACTGGCGTCCCTTCCTTTTACTCCATCAAGAAGGATGTGGCACAACCATGAGGTAAAGACAAGCTGTTCGGCTAAGTTTGCGCCCATTTTCCAGTTTGTCTAATATCACAAACGAAATACTTTCTCATTCTGGGAGAAGAGACAAAGGGCGGGCTAGACTTTGTGCACTGCAGCCTCCATTGACCCCCAGAGGCATCTTCGAGCGTGGAAAATCTTACTATTACGAAGGCCCTTTCGTAGGTGGGACATTCTGTCACCCTTTCAGGGATTCATAAATGCTGGGGTTTTTCAGTGAATCCCCCTACCGGGATCGCCGAGCACAAGGTTTTGATGAATTGGAAACAAATATCTCGAAATGTGCAGAGACTTGAGCACGGTGGCGGATGGGCATCACATTCCCACTATAGCGGAACAGTCTGGTCAATAAGGGGTGATGTTTTTCCACACTGATAAATGTGATAAGAGAAGTGATAGGAAAACTCAGCAGCTTGCAAGATTCCGGAGAAACTAATGCTTCCGTATAGTATCAAGTAATAAAGCATCAAACGCCACTTGATGATTGGCAATACAATAATTATGGCGGAATGTTCTTATAAATGTGTCACCGCATCACTTCATCTTCTCTTTCAACTAATCCATAGTGCCAATATTGAGCGAGTCCACTAATCAAGTAACATATGTTGTCCCGGTTTAAAAAACGATAAAAAAGGCTCCCTTGGTTTTGGAATGTATCAGCAAATTGCCTGAGAGAACAACCACAACGACTCGTCCCTAATGATTATGGAATCCGCGATAGGTAAGGTTCTGTATTCCAGGCATGAAGACATAGACGGATTCGGGCCCACAAATAGAGCATGTCAGGGGGATGAGGAAAATTGGTCAAAAATTGGTGCGACCTCCCTTAACCATCGCCTCAGACACATCACGCAGCCCGAATTCCACCATAATTCCACCCGCCTCGCTTATTTTTAAGTGCAAGAGCCAAGGAAAGCTTGCGGATAAGTGGGTAACATTTCCATTTCGTTCCATTCTCCAATGCATCCATGGCACGTCCTGCCGTTGGAGAAAAAAATCACAGAGTATAACGCTCCTTCCCCCCCCCCCTCATATGTTTCCTCTGGTTCTTCTCCGCATCCTACTTAACATCTCCCCATACTCTCCCTAACTTTCTACCAATTTTCCGGGCATCCAGTTTCTCTTCCAAAAACTACCACCGTTTCTCATACAAAGAATGTACAGATGGAAGAACTCATCTGAAATTGCACAAAAGTAAAAAAAATTCAAAAATATGGGTAAAATCGCTATGCACTTGCTACTCTCTTTTCAAAATTAGCCACAGCTGACCTGTGCGATGCCAGTGCCCATCAGACCGCATCCAATGACGGCAACGACTGCGTTGGATGACTGCGGGGTGGCTGAGACCATATTGAAGTAAAGGTAGACTTTTCAACAGTGACTTTATAGGCCAGCGGGGTAAGTGGGTGGCAGTGGAACAGTGTTCACGTGAAAACGCATTCCTTATCGAGCTCGCCTCGAGTCTGGCGATTCGATCGCACCATATGTGTGTGGTGATTGTGATTGCAATTACCATATGAAAGCACCTTCAAAGTAGGTAGATAGCGAGCTCCGCAACGAAATAGGAAATGCTGACTCATGATGAGCAGCTACAGCCTGTAACAAGGTCAACATCAACTGAAGGTACTCGAAAGCAAATACTGAAGCAGCTGTAAGGCTGCTGCAAAGCTCCCGTGTGATGTTCCAGAAATTTAGACTTGCCTTGAAAACCGCTTTGGGACCTGATCGGCTTGGGGGGACAGCAACCGTTCCTCAGCAAATTCGTCTGCTGTATACGCTACCTTGTAAGACCTGTAAACGGTCGTGACCAAAAGTGGGCTCACCATTGCACCGCTTCACAGGAGCCTAGCTACCGAAATG